GGCCCGGGCCCGCCGCGTCGGAGCCCTGCGCGGCCCCCCCTGCACATCCACACGCCACAGGCTGCGGAGGGCAGGGCGCTCCCTCCGCATCCTGCTGGGCAAACCCCTGCAAAAGCCGCACTAAGACCCAGCAGCCAAGCGGCGAAGTCCATCCAGGAGGAAACTGGAGCACCAGAGGCGTCGTGTCCATTCTGGGAACTCTCCATCCACAGCAGATTATTTCCATTTACAAAGTACCACCCTTGCACTGGTTTGAGGCTCAAAAGCAAGTTATCTGCAGAGCTGTGGGCAGGAAGGGGAGAAGCTGGGGTTAAGTCGGGAGAGATTTTGCCCCCGTCTTCCCTGCAGCCAGGATTTCATTTCCCAGTGCAAGGAAGATCACACTGGCTGTTTAAGGGACTGATTACTAGAGGCTCCTCACAACTATCCTCTTTAGGGAATTAGCAGCGAGATGGTGAATGCTCTTGGGAACAGGTTTCCACCAAGCGCAAACAAGCCTAATGTAGCCACAAGAGTCTTTCTGAGAGCCCCACAGAGCATCCACCTGGGTAGGCAGTAGATCCTAATGCAAAAGTTAATTCAATGACGGCATCAAAACCACACGGAAAACGCCTCAACCTTATATTCCCTCCTTCCCATATTTTTGCAGACCACTGGATTTGCTCAAAATCACGTTGCAAATGCCCCAAACCAAGGCCTGAGCGGTGTCAAGGCCGCGTCCCGAGCCGCTGGGGTACTCACTCCGTCCACTCCGCTGGGAATCTGCCCGTTGAGGGTGCGGAAGGGCGAGTGGGCGGACAAGCGCTTGTCCCATTCGCTCGGCCGCGGCTCGGGGACGGACTCCATGAAGTTCTTCTTGAGCTCGCTGATGTTGGCGTGGTGCTTCTTGATCTCCTCCTGCGGCTTGTCCAGATCCTGGCACCAAAGGAGAGCGGGGTGAAGGGGGAAGCGCGGGCCGGGCGGCCACCGGCTCCCTCCCGCCATCCCCATCCCGCATCCCGTGGCTCCAGGCACAGGCTATGCCAGAGAGATGACAGAAACTTCCAGGGTTTGCCCTGCGGACGACTTTCCACGCTACTTCCAAGGCTACGGTGCTGGGGGAGGATTTTGTGCTTTTAAGGTGGGGGTTTTGCTTTTTCCTCCCCTCTGTATGCCCGAATATTCAAGGAAGATCCATAAATTACGTTAACACTTCAGAAATTTCCTCTCGTTTTACTCATTCTCTTCATTCCTATTCTCTGCCATTTTATCAGGATTTATTTTTGGTCCCCCTCTATCTAAACACACTGGCTTCAAGGCAAGTGAGCCCCGTTCAACCAAATCGTTTAAAAATAGCCTTTTCCTTGCAAGCAAACCGGCGTTTTGGTTAGAACGAAGCTTTTGCATAAAAGAGGCTGAAGCCCAAAACAGCTTTTCTGGACAGTGCCAGGGAGAAGGAAGCCTCCCCCACCAGAGGGTGGGGAAGTCAAGTCAGTAAAAGCATCCCAGCCAAATTTCTCTCTTTTTGTGCTTTTAGCTGTTATACAGCCTGTTGACAAGATGGGTGAGCAAGCAGGTTTGCTTTTTTATTTTTTGGAAGCAAATGGCTCCCCAAAGGACTTCCCAGTGTCCGAGATCCTGCAGCTGAGCAGACCCTGCAGCCTCCGGCGCACGGGGCTGCAGACCCGAAGGCCTCACAAACCATTTTTGCTCTTTTTGGCACAGTTGTGGGGAAAAACAGTCCTGGCGGGGGTCCCAGACGAAAGCACGAGGCAAGTGCCAGCGAGTTAGAAGGGAAAAGCACAGAACAGAGCGCTGAGGACACCCCGGGAGACACGGGCCAAGGGGCCCTGCGGCTGCTCCGGCTTCGGAGAAGAGAGGACGGCCCGCCACGGCGCAGCAAAGGTCCGGCCTGAAAGGCTGCAGGGGGCTAAAGCCACGAGGAGGTTACGGAAGCGGGAGCAAAGCTCCAAGTGCTGCGTTTCTCCCTGGGTTTGGCCTTTCGGGAAAGCCTACGGAGCGCAGGTCACCCAGGGCGGAGTGGGAAACGGTGTCGGAGAAAAGAGGTGGCAGCTCCGAGGAGCTCCGGGCGAGCGGCCGGTGCCCGCGGGGCGGCAGCACCTGCAACAGAACCGCCCGCGGGAGCGCCCGCTCCGGCAGCGCCCACTCCCGCAGCGCGCCCGCGGGGAACGCCCCT